GGGGGGGATATAAGAGGGTTTCTCTATAATTGCTTGAGAAAGTATATTTTTATTGCACTTTTCTTTTCTTAGTTTAATGAGACAGAAAGTTAAACCATATTTCTTGATTAGGTTTATGCTTAGGAAGCATGTATCATTGCTTGTCAGGGTGAAGAGCAAAGCTCTTGGGAATGTCTGTTACGCTTTTGGGAGTGGCTCTATAAATATACTCTCTAATTCCTTGAACTATTCTTCTAAAGTTATCCTCCATCTCTTTAAGCTATCATCTAGTGATGAAATCATGATTCTTTATATTGATAAAAGTTTTATTGGTCTGTTCTCTGTGTCTCATTACACATTTTTTTTTATTCTTGGCATATATTCTACTCAACATATATTTGATAATATTAGATCCAAGCTATTATGAACTACTCCGCAATATTGAACATCTGTGAAACTTCTTAAGTAGTATGAAGTTAAACTTTTAATCATTAAAACACATTTTGGCGCAATGATTGAATTTCATAAGAAAAAAACTCCAAAGTTTAGCATGCTCATGCGAAAGCACTTTTTGTGATGAGCGAATTTATGAGTAAAGACAAATCGTACAACATCTAGATGGGTAAGAGTTTAGTTTAGTACAAATAGCATCATAGCACCACACTAGTTCAAAGTAGGAATATCAATCTGATGGATGACTCTAAGTTAAGAAAATTCATGATGAAATCAATTACCTAAATAGGCGAGATTGTGAAATCCTTAAAGTCATACTCGTATTGCCTCAATGATTCTAACAATCTCTTCTAATAATACAATCTTCTTGGGCAGTAGTTCCTCAGTTTGAGTGAATATATACAAATCAGCTTGAGTTTTGGCAGATAGTTCTACATACTATGGCGAGTTTTCCTTGAATTTGACATGTTCACCTCAAATATTACTAATACACCATCGGAGCAAGTTCAGAAGTCAATATTGTTTCGTGTGAATTCATGCCAATCTAAGTGAGTTTATGTTGAATAAAAGGAGTTCTTTTCATTTTTATTGTCGAACCTTTAGAATGTTTAGATGCACATATATAGAATCATCCCACCAAATATGAACATAGCGGTATTAGACATTATATTAAAATTTAAATACAATCAGTCTCCATCTATTAAATCAAGATATATATATATATATATATATATATATATCTTGTTGTTGTCATT